CTTTTGGGTTCCATTATTCTTGCCGCTGATCTCAACTCAAGTTTCAATCCGTTAATAAATGTTGCTTCCAGAACCTCTTCAAGAAAGTCAATCATTTTTCCAACTAATTTCTCAAACTCACACACATAGTCGCGAGCCGTTCTTACTTGTTGAATTGACAAGAATTGTTGGTAAACATTACCTTCTTATGATAGTTGAAAGGGAACTATTAGCTTCTTCTTGAGCTTTTCCCATGTATGGCATGGTGATCCTGCCTCCACCCATCAATATCATGCAAGTGCAGACCCATCCATACATAAACCCGTTGCCCTCAATCAATCCTTATTGCTGATCCTCTGCACTTCAAAGTACCTCTCGGCTCGATAAATCTATCCATATGCATCTTCCCTTGAAAAGATAGGCATCTTGATTTTTCGGGAATCACGTAATGAGTCCATGTTCTTTCCATTGAGATAACCATAACCCATGTGATCACAAGAACCCCTGGATTTGTCATCATCGCTGTCTGATGACTCTCTCTCTCACTATCGAACTCTTTCTTCTTCTTCTTTTTCTTCTTGTCCCGCTCGACCTTAAGGTCCTTGATCAACTCCAAAATCTCCTGAATTTGCATCCCCACCTCCACCCGATGGCTTTCTACTTCCTTTCTCATCCTGGATACATCAGACTCAAGCATTCCAATGCAATCGATATTATTGAGATTTGTTGCCATCTCCCAAAAACTATTGAAACGAACCAATAAAAAACTATAAAGATAGTGTTACATGAACAATACTTTTTGATGAACAATGACGTCATGAACAATGTTCCGGTGAACAGTGACGCGTGAACACTAATTCTGGTGAACAGTATCGTTGTCAGCATCATTGATTTGATACCATTTGATAAGCACCAGTTTGTATAACTTGTATTTGAGTCACAGGTAGACTCCACAAGAGATAAACTCCAATACTTTTTAATGCATAAAAAGATAAGTCTGTTACTATACGATACTTCTAGCAAACAAAAAAGAAACCTAATAAGACTCAATCACCATCCCAAACATAAAAGACAAACTCATGAAATAAATAAATCCAATTGCTAAAATAAACAAACTTAAATTAATTACTACAAAGCTCATGACATGGATTAAGTCCTATTAGGTTTTTTTTTTTTTTGTTTTCGCCTCCTGTTGATCACACCAAAACGACCTGAGATAGGGATTCTATTATGTTATATATCACTTATACTGTACAAACGCCGCCACACGTTAATCGGTATGTAATTAGGACGTTAATCATATAGGATTCCAAAGCAATCATGAATATATAGGATAAAATTCTCATCTTTTTGTACCATTACCTTCTATGCTTTCCTAGCCTCCTTCGTCCGCCACTAAAAATAGACAAAACTACAAAATTGGTTCTTATAATTTTCAAAAACTGTTGATAATATCTACAAAATATTTCAACTTACATCATGACTAAAATCAAGAATTTTTTATAGTTTTGGTCTATGAACGATATGAAAAGACGATTTTGCCTTAAAACAAAATTTCTTCAATTTTTTTAATTTTTTTATATGTATATTAATACACTAGGTGTTAAACCCGTATAATATACAGGTTGGTTTAAAAAAACACATTAAATATTAAAATGTAAACATAAAATATTTTTTAATACATAACTTTAAAATAAGAAAAGAAGAAGCATATTTATTGTAATTTAATATGATATATATGATATTTAATACTTTTATATATATATGATTATAATTTAAAAATCAAAACAAAATAAAAATCGATAAGTAGATAACATTTATTTCAAAAATACCACAAAAGGATAAGTATCAAAACATATAACAAAAAGCTTTCATTTACTAAAAAAAAAAAAAAAAAAAAGGATTTTCAATTTTATAAAAAAATAGAAAAATAGAGTTCCCCACCTATGACCCTATCACACCACACGTGCCCTCCCATCTCTTCCTCTTTCTCTATCTCTTTGACTTTCTTTTTCTCTCTTTGACTCTCTCTCTTTCTTTTCCTCCTTCCTCACCCTTCACCTGCAAAGGATCCCATTTTTTTCTTTTGTGACTATCGGCTTCCCCTTTTCCTCATCTACTCTATTCTGTCATTTTCGTTGATCGAAGAATGCATCTGTGGTTACAAGAAATAATGACAAGAAAATAGAAGACAAAGGAATTCGAGGTAAAAATGGAAGCAGCCACGACTAATAAAGGCGGCGACAAGGCTGGAGTTGCAGATCGATGTGGTGTTTGTGGTAGTCTCAAGAAGCGAAACTCTTCGTCTATTATCACGAATGAATTGTCAATTTCATGTGCCAACTCGATTTAGGTTTATTTTCTGAATCCCGTGTTCGTTAGAAGCAAGATGGGTTATGTCGGTGTATTGAACAATGGAGGGATCTTTCATCTGGGTTGTTGGAATTGAGGTGGACGTATTTCGATTATAACCAGAATCTTTCAATGATGAGTTGCAATTTGGCCGGACCTTTGCCGGAATATCTCGGACTTATGCGGTCTCTTGGGGCTATAAAACTGTGAATGACTTAGATTCGTATTCCGGCGACATTTAACGAATCGGGTCTTAGAATCCTTTTGTTAAATGGTTAATCCCGAGTTGGAATGAGTGATTCCATTGATGTTATCGGGACTACGACTTCACTCACGAGCTTATGAGCTTCACGGGAATCACTTTTTCGGTATTCCTGAATCTATCAACGATTTGACTGAACTCAAAACAATGATCTTATCGGATTAATCCCTGATAGTTTAGCTTCTCTCACATTGAATAAACTGGATTTAAATAATAATCACTTGGGGTAGCATTAATTCACTTTTTCTATTTTTAAATTAAAAAAGTACTAACCTAAATATAGAAAATAAAAAACGAAATTATAGAGCAAAATAGTTTCTTCAATTGTTTAGAGATCATAATTACAAAAATTTTCTTTTTATTTTTAGACTTTTTATTTAAGTTGATTTTTTTTTTCTTTTTGACCCCGTCTACGGTTTTTTGAAATAGATACTATTTTTATAGTTTTGTTAAAAAGTATGTAAAAATAAGTTAAGTTAAAATTTTAAACTAAAAACAAATAAGCTTTAAAAGATACAAATAATAATATATTATTTGACATAGAAAATTACTAATATAACCAAATTTGCTAGTTACTTTATAAAAAATAACAAAAAAATCAAAATTACATGTAATAGCCGTTAATTTTACATATGGATTAGGATTAGCTATGAAGTTAGTATTCTATATACGAACGTACAAGCAGTTTATGCATATTTTTGCTTTGGAAACTTGTATGTTCACATATGGATTTTCCATTTATGAAATCAACAATAATCATGTATAAGATCATTGTTTAAAGTATAAATATCAACAAGTTAACCCATTTCATAGATGGATTGCATTCCATCTATGAAATGCTCTCATTTCATCTATAAAATCATTGTTTGAAATATAAATAGTTTTATTTTTTATAGATGAACTACAATCCATCTATGAAATGTTTTAATTCTATCTATGATTTGTAGGTAGACTTTTTTATTAAATAGTTAGTTTTTACTATGAATTTTTTAAGATTGACTACGAAATCAGATAACTATGACTACAAATTAGTAGATTTTATGTAAAATTTTGCATAAAAATCTTAGCTTATGACTTACATCTTTGGAATTCTTGTTTAACATCGGAAGAATACATTTTCTCGTCCGTAGCTTCTTCAAAGAATTTTCCCAACCAAAAAACTAGAAAAATGAATGATTAAAAAATTAGGATTGTGTTTAATTTTGACTTACATCTTTGGAATTCTTGTTTAAAGTTGACTGATTTTATAGATGGATTAACATTTGTGAACGTACAAGTTTCCGAAACAGAAACATGCATAAAATGCATGTACGTTCACAGATGAAATACTCATTTCATAGTTGGTCTGAATCATTCTGCGAAATTGATGGGTATTTTGTTTAATTTTGATTTTTTTTTACTATTTTTTATAAAGTAATTAATAATTTTCTTTATTTGACATTCCTTGAGCTTTGTCTATAGGTAGGCCAACGATTATCCAAATCCTCCCAAAATACTCATAAGTTCGTCCGATTGATAAAATGTTTTCCAAGCCTCAAAGGGCCATTGGAGTCTCCTACATTAGATAAACACGATATATCTACATCATAGTCATCCTCCTTATAATAATCATGGACGTGCTCCTCGCCAAGGCCGCCAACCATCCCTAAATTGTGTAGGGATGGTATAAGCATTGTGACGTCTGTCGACACTTTGACACCCTAAACACTATTTGTCCTAGTCATGATATAAGCATTGTGCGAGGGCTTCCAAAACATTAAAGAATTTATTCATCGAAGGAAAAGAAAGCAACTTGATTTGGAATAACAAAGCAAAGATTGTTAGAAGATGTATTTTCTTGATTCAAGTAGAATTTTCGGCAAAATTCATGACTTTGTCATAGAAATATATGTATTTTCTTAATTCAAGTGAGAATTGATCGGAGGTAAGGTTCCACATTGGTCATTGGAATGTAATTCAAGGTTTAGTCATTTCAAGAAACAAGTATCTCGAAAAATTCCAAAATCCATCACTAGCATTTTATTGGTAATATTGAGTTTTCCGAAAACAAATTTTACAGTGACAACTTTCCTATTTTAGTGATACTTGTCAATCATCATATTGTTTACATAGACTTGTCCTAATCATTCCGATGAAAAACTCAAATCACCTCAAGCACGAGTGAGTGTGGCGTTATAGAGCGTTTTCTTGAAGTACTTGTGTTTCAATAATATGCTTATGTACTTTGTATATTTACCTTTATTTATACTCAAGTTTTATAATCTTATACTTATTAATTTTATTTAATATGGATGTTCAACTATGTTAAATATTATAATTTGAAATAACAACAAATGAAAAATGAAAACATAATGCAAATTAGCTTTTGCATATATATATATTATTATGTTCATATATCTATCAAGATTCAAGCCCACACCCTTTTCTTGCTATCTCTATCTTTAACCCCTTGACTCGGGTTACTACTTGGTCTACCATGATGAACCACCGGTCTCTGAGCCACCACCGGTGCTGGTTTAACCACCCTCGACGAACCACCACGAACCCTAGGTGGTGGTTGTGGGTCCACCACATTCTCAACTTCACTATTTCTTGAAACCCTTTTTCTTCTCACTTCACCCCCACCATTACTACCCAATGAGTCATTTCTCTTGGACCGGTTCAAGCTAGCAGCCGTTTGCCGGTTCATTAGATTTGAACCCCTCAACACATGTTGCTCAGCCTCATGTGAAATTACAAATTTGTCCCTTGAAACAACACCAACATGTTTCCCTTCATCACGAGGTGTTGTTTTCATTGAACTACAAGAATCTGTGATTGTAGCTATGGATAACCGCCTTTCTTGATCTTTAAGCTTCTCTTCAAGAACCTTAATCTATAAAATATTATACACTATTAGCAAAATAAATAAATAAATTGTCTTTCATTATAAATAACAAAAAAAATACCTTTAGAAGGAGGGTGGTTGAATCAGAATTTTGTTCCTGTTCTTTCAATTTCCTTTCAAGTTCCTCAATCTGAAACATCAAAAAGAGAAACAAAAATAAATAAACAATTTTTTTTCCTATTTCATAAAATCATAAATTTTTACAAACCTTTTCTTGAAGGGTACATCAAAAAGAGAAAGAAAAATAAATAAACAATTTTTTTTTCCTATTTCATAAAATCATAAATTTTTACAAACCTTTTCTTGAAGGGTCATGGTGTAGGACTTTGACTCTTTGACTTGGACTTTCAATTTGTCTTCAAGATCCCTCACCTGGTTTCAAATTTCCAAGTTTATTAAAAAAATATTTTTTTTTATATAAAATTTTAAAAAATCTCCAAATACCTTCTGTTGGTATGTTATAGTCCCTAACTCTTCACGTTCTATAAGCTTGTTCTCGAGCTCCTTGACCTTTTTATAAACAAATAAATAAATAAATATGTGTCATTATTTATAATGCTTTAATGATCATATATAAAAAAAAAAATAACAAAAAGGACAAAATCAAAACCTTTTGTTGAAGCCCGTTGTTGAATTCTTCTTTCGCCTTTAACTTTTCAGAAAGATTAGAAATTTGTTTTTCTAATTGAGAATATGATCCTGTTTTCAACTCGATTTGTGTCTCAAGCTCCTTAATTTTGTCCACTTGGTTTTTATAAACTTGATCTTTTCCTTTAATCTTGCCTTCTACATTCTGTAAACTCTCTTCTAACTTCCTCAAAGACTCATCTTTCAAACGCGATTCTTGCTTTGCTTTATCAAGCTTCAAGATTCAAGATTCACACCAAAAACACATTCAAATACAACTCCAAATATTAAAAAAAATTACAACAAACAATATGTATAAATAAATAAAAATTACTTACCATGATTTTAATTTTCTGAAGCTCACTTGTATCAATTTGCTTTTTAGCAGGACCTAATTCAACCCCTCTCACTCTCGTTGCAAAGTTCAAAGAACTCAAAGTCTCACTCAAGTCATGTTCAGAGGGACTTATTTGCACAAACATCAATGTTTTCGAATCACCCCCTTCAAGAAACAAACTTTCACATTAATCACCCTTTTTGGGTTTTGGGTTTTCCAAAAAGATAAATAAAAATCGCAAATTTGAACTTTACCTAATGAATCTTGAAGTAAATGTGTAAGCTTTGGAAGCTCACACATTTACAATTAAAGAAACAAACTTTTACATTAATCACCCTTTTTGGGTTTTGGGTTTTCAAAAAAGATAAATAAAAAAGCACAAATTTGAACTTTACATGAATCTTGAAGTAAATGTGTGAGCTTTGGGTATTCCAAAAGCTCACACATTTACATTAAAGAAACAAACTTTTTACATTAATCACCCTTTTCGGTTTTGGGTTTTCAAAAAAGATAGATGAATTTGAAGTTTACCTAATGAATCTTGAAGTAAATGTGTGAGCTTTGAGTTCCTATATGGAATGTGACTACTCTTATTTGCTAAAGCAGAAATAACATCTCCAAGAGCAGAAAGTGATCGATTAATATTTTGAGCCTCTTTAAGCCTTTCACCTTGAGCATCTGTTTTTGCAACCCTTTCACTTCCAGCTAAATCCACAAGCCATAGTTTGCTCTTTGTGCACTCATTTGTTATCAAGTTCTTTGCTTTTACCATGATAGAAAGCATACTATAAAAAAGAAACAAATTTTCAACATACAAAAAACAAGGGTAATAAAGTAAATTGCTAATTTTTGTACTTACCAATGAGATCTGCTGCTATGTTCATTCACATTATTTGATCCAACAACTCTTGCACTACTTCCAGCTTGTAATACATTCCAAACTTCTTTTATGTTCTCAACTTTAGCTTCAACTAAACCAGGAACATTGTGAAACCCTTCAGATGCTTGTTTTATTTCCAACCTATATTTTCATGAAAATTTTGTATTATTGCATTTGTATATACATTTAAGTTAACTGATTTAATAAAATAGTGTTTTTACTTTTTGGAGGTTGATGATGGTGTTGCAAGTAGATCCCTTATCTGTTCATTATAAACTTCAAGCACACTAACTGATATGTCATAAGTAAAAGTATCAACTCTTTCTTTTGCAATTTTGAATAATTCCTCTAATGTTCTGTAATTTACCCCTCGATTTCCCTCAATACCCTCCATTGTAAATGTCTTTCCTGTCCCTGTTTGACCATATGCAAATATACACACATTGTATCCATCCAATACTGAAGTCACCAATGGTGAAGCATGTGCAAAAACATCAACTGTTTAAGGTCAAAAAAAAAAACACAAGAATGCATATTAATATATATAAATATATAAAAGGGCATTATTGGTATAGTAAGTTTATGAAACCTTGATTGTCATTTGGTGTGAAGACTCTATCGAATCTAAATGTCTTTTTAGTAGAACCACTATTAAGAACACCAAGTTCTCCATTTGAAGCTGCATCAAAGTCAACAACGGTTGACCATCCGGTCAAAGTTTCTTGTTTGCTTTGTGGACGACATCTGCAAAACACCCTTATGTTTCCTGAAATTAAAATAAGAATTAGTATTTATAGAAAGTTAGAAACTTTATATATTTGTTAAAAAAGAAAAAGAAAAAGTTAGCAGACCTTTTGTATCCTCAAGTTGATTATGAAGCTTTCTTCTCTTGATTTGTTCTTGGTTGTATTTCACTTTAAGATCCTCACACTGTGCAACTAAAAGTAATAATAGAAAATGTTAAAACTCCAATAGGGTGAAAATTTAATTATGAATTTACTAATTTACCCACCCAATGCTTGAACTGCAGAAACCATGTTATTGAGATCAGGAACTGAGTCAGCACATTGGTGTGCTTGAAGAGAGAGCTGAGAGTGGTCTTGTTTTAATACCTAATTAATGAATAAGGTTAAAAAAGATATATAATTTTGATTATATTATGTAATATTTGTGTTAATTAGTTAATTAATTAATTAATTACCGATATTCTGTGTGATAGTTCTTTAACTGCAGCTACCCAAACCTTCTTGTCATGTTCATATCTACTTGATATGTCCCTCAATTGTTCAGATTGTTTCCCCATTTTTTGGTCTAAAAAGAAAGAAAATTAGGAATTTCTAACAAAATAATAAGTCAAAAAATAAAAAAGTTAAATTTATTTTGGGAAAAATCTTACCAAGAGAAGATGAATGGATCAATCTTTTGTCAAGTTCCATGTGGACCTTTTCAAGCTGCTTAGTTGCTGCAGTTAAAGACATCCAAGCTTGATAACATTCATCAGTCTTCCTCTGACATTGACTAGTCAACTCTTGTATCCTTTTCTCATACTTCTCTACTGATTTCTTTCGCATGACTTTCTTCTGTATATATATTCAGTAATTTAGTAACATTAATGTGTTTGTTAATAATAAGAGCATTATTACATACCTGAACTGAAGGGATTTCTATATCAGCAGCACAGTTCTGACATTTTAGAAAATCTTGTGTTACATCATCTGTGAGTAAATCAAAAGAAAAAGTCAAATCAAATTCATATTCACTCAACAAAATTACAAATAGAATTAAAAATCTATATGAAATTTTAGCTACCAGGGAGTTTAGGAGCTCTTCTTATGCAGATTCCACTAACCAATGGGCTTCCAGTGATTCCTTCGAACCTAATTACAATTGTCTCACCAGGTTTGACCGAGACTCTTGAGTCAACTAACTGTAATGGTTTATTAGCTCCAACAACAGAGAAGATGTCGAAATCTGCAAGAATCTGTTGAGAAACAATGGTGAGTTTTAAAGTTTTGTGGTTAATTTTTCAAGTATTTGGAAGAAACAATGAACTTGCCTTCTCTTCCTGTAAGTATACATTGAAGACTCTCATTCCTTTGGGGCCAAATGTGTTTATCATCTCAACGAAGTGAAGGTCAATAAAGTAATTTCCCTCTGGCAGATTGTTGAACAGGTACTGAAAGTCTCCTAGTCTTGCAGAGTGGTATATGAATGGAACATCACCGCCTTCAGTTATGGATTCGTTTGTTTGAAATACATCACCTCCTTCAAAGTACTTATCGGCTTCAATGTTTATATTGGAGTCTAGTTCCACCATGGTTTCTGCTCCAGCATTCACGAAGAGAACTACTTCATCTGGTGCAAAAAAGAAGTAGATTAATGTCGATTCATCTGTAGAATTTACAAAGTCGACTCTCAAATGTAATGTGAAGTACTGAAAGATTTTGATTTTGATCTTATCGGGATGAAAGAGCAGAAAATGCAAAATTTAGACAACTAGGGTAAAGTAAAGCGTAAATCAGTCAAAATTCGAACCTGTACAGTTCGACCTTAGAAACCCCTTTGGAATTAGCTTGGAAGTGGAATCACAGACCATGTAATCCAGCGAAGATTCTTCATCTTCGTCCATTGTTGAAATCCCACCCGACTTTTTCTCGCAATCAAGAGAACCATCCGGGCGAAAGAGGTGGTCAGCAATTAGGGTTCCACCTTCTTCCTCCATTTTGCAATCATCATGTTGGTCCAGTGATTTGTTGCAGTCAAACCCTCCATTAGTAAAAGCTGGGATCATCCCAGATGTAGTATTCTCTTGATTCGAAGACTCATTACTCCAACTAATAACTTCCGATACTGAGGCATGAGAGATCTGGCTTTCTTGGTTTTCACCTGATGGGTCGAGGGTGTCCGTTTTGCCTTCCATGGAAAATTAGTGTATCTGGATATTTGAAAACTGTGAAGATGTTGAAAGGATTTCTTGAAGAGAAGAAGATGATTTGGGGTTAGGATCGCATTTTTGGATTTGAAAATGTGGGGGGGGGGGGGGGGGTGAGAACTTCAATCTCGACCGTTAAAAAGAAGACCGTTGCTTCATGTCTTGATGAGGAATTAAAATACAGGCCACCTTTGTCAAAAGGGTAAGTGTCATGGTAAAACCCTTCCACTTTTTCATATTTTGAATGGCTTATTTTATAGTAAAGTTGCAAAATTATCCCTATATTTATCACAAATGATCAAAGAATAAGGTAATCAAATTACTCAAATTTTATAAAATATAACACAAAATTACAGAAACTATCTTGTAGTTCATAAAAAAAATCATTAACATTAATTCAAATTTATATTTTACGGACATTTTTATAGTTTTAATTTGTTACATGATTACTCAATAAGTCATATAAAATGTGTATTCTTTCATCATTTTTTACTTATCTTTTGAAAAAAAAAATCGAAATGAGAGACTACTCATAATTGAAATCTATAGAATTCAGACTTTGGTCATGTCTTTTTTGAGTGCTTAATCGCCAAATGATCACCGTTAATAAATTATATTGAATATTAATAATGGTTACCGTTGTTTAATCCGCATTGGTAATATGGTTTCGTGATAAATTTCTATAAACGAAAACAGTTATGTTGTAAATACATTTCATAATGGAATAAAAAAAAATTGAAAATTCACAAATTTTGGCCACAATGTTTGTTTTAGTATTATACAAATAACTAAAAAAATAGATTTTACAAAAATGATCATTGAATCTAAAATAGGTTGTTTTGGATCCATTTACCCACGAATATCTATGTATTTAAATGGTCATATCTATTCAAAAAAAAAATGTTTTAAATATGGTACTCACTGCATCTTGGTACAATATTTCATATTCTCTTAATCATTTAGATGAGACGAAGTATGGATGCGTAGTTGAAGAAGATACGATTAACCAGATCAGTTCGATACTTTTAATTTTCACGTTCATTAGTTAAAACTCAAAAAAGATATTTATGTGTCTAAAATGAAAATCTCAATCCAAAATTAGTCAATTTTGTTGTATTTGGTATGTGTTTCATAGGTACATATGATGCAATTGTTTAGTTATGTACAATGCAATTGTTTAGTTATGTATTATTTTTATATAAAGATGAGTGATTTTCGTATACCAAAATCCAAATCCAAAAAACTATTCTGGTATAGGAACTTGTGTGTGTGCTAAACGGGTCGTGTATATCCTTATTAAACGTTTAAATATCATATTTGTCCGATTTGAACTCTAAACATCATGTTTGCCCTTCTTAATGTTTTAAAATATCAAATTTGCCCAAATCTATTTTTTAAATAGTTTTTATTATTTAAAAATCCTTTTTTTATATTTTATAATCATCAAAAATAAAAAATAAAAATAACCAAATGGAACAAAATACCCTTGCTTCTAAAACACAGTTATACCGTATTCCTAGGACATGCTAATTGTGTCTTCACTAAACGATCCATTTGTTTTGGCGGTCTAAATCACCCAATAAACGATCATATATATAACTTCAATTTATATGCAATTATAAATATAAAGCAATGAATACTTGAAGGAAAGTAGTGATCAAATAAAATAAAGTTACCTTAGGATACATTTGGCATTTTCAATAATGGATCTGACTCTACTTTCACCTAACATCATGTTTGTGTCCAAGGCTATTTCCATGATGTCTTTCTCTCCCATTTTTGCAACGATATCCGGTTCAAATCTTACTATAACGCTTGATATCTGATATGAAGTTGATTCCAAGTTGCTTAAGTTTCTCTTTGGGACACGGCGTGTTGAAGTCTCAACACAGCGTATCAAGATGCTTTTGGCCGCAGATTTTAATGAACCAACACGGCGTGTTAAGGTGTCTCAACACGGCGCGTTGGCCGCTGGGAAGGAAACCCTAAATTTTAGGGTGTTGCACCTTATTTAAAGGCCTTAAGTCCTTTTGGTTGGCCTCCTTATCAGCCTCCATTGTTATCAAAACGCTAAAACGAGTTGTAGCCTCCATTGTCAAGCATTTGAGACTTGGAAGAAAGTTTGGTGTTCATTTTGTGCATTGTGAAGGAGTTAGAAGATCTTGAAGTTTATAAGCTTGGAGAAGGAAGTCTTGGATCCAAAACCATTACCCATTGTGAAAGGAGTTTGAGGTATCAAGTTCTTATCTTGATTGCTAGATGCTTAGATCTCCATTTTGGGTTAAATTGTTATGTTTTAGCCATGGTTTGGATTAGGACGTCCCAAAGCCTTATTCTTTCAGATCTGGGGTTTTCATGGACTCCTTTGGCAAAAAAGTGCAAGCTTTAAAAGATTTTAGGCCTCATGTATGCATTAAGTCCCTTATTAAGCCCTTCTTGAGCATATGAGCTTCTCCTAGGCATGCATGAATGTAAAGTTGGCAACTTTACGTGGTCTTCCAGCTCATCTACATTTTGGGGCTTTTTCTTTGAAGATTAAGTTCTTAATGGTTAAGCCCTCACTCTTTTAAGTCTAGGGTTTGGGTTTGGACTCATTTCGGTGGCTCCTAAGGGTAAAGTTGGAAACTTTACCCTTCTAGGCCTCATTTTGGTCAAGATCTGAGCTTTGGAGCTCTTAGATTCGGTGAAGGTAGCTTAACGTATTAACCTATTGGGTCTTAGGCGAACACAACATGTTTGTTGGTCAACAAGACATCTTGGCTTGGTTTTTCCCGATTCGAAGTTAATGGAGAAACACAGCGTGTTGGGTCAACATGGATTGTTGATCTTGATTTTTGACTTTTGTCTTTAACCTAGTATGTCCTAAGGGTACTTGGGGTGATCTGAATTGTAACTAAGGAAATTATGGGCTTAGGTTAAGGCCCATATGGGTTTGGATTTGAGCGATTAGTGGGAATTTATGGATCTTTTGGATTTGGGCCTTAGTTTTGGTTCATGTTGGGTCAGGGGTAAAATGGTCATTTTACCCCAAGTATGGATGGTGGGCCTTAGAATGGAACCTAATTGCTAATTGGGTGTTATTTTGATCTGATAGCTCGGAGGTGTCGTCGGGGCAGCAACTAGGGATTTCTTTTAGTGAGCTTCTGCATTCAGGGTGAGTTTCCTCATTGGTTTAACGAGTCCCAGGCACCAAGGCCGACCCTCGTTTGGTTAGGTTATTATACTTGTTGTCTGTGTGATACTTGTATGTACTTGTATATGTATGTTTATTGGGCGGGGCTCGTTATGTGAGTGTGGGCGGGGTCTGTATCTTACTATTATCTAAGTGTGGGCGGGGCCCGTATCTCATTATTATCCGAGTGTGGGTGAGGCCCGTTATTCGAGTGTGGGTGGGGCACATATCTCATTATTATTCGAGTATGGGCGGGGCCCGTTATATGATATGTATGGTATGTGGTATTTGGGGAACTCACTAAGTTTTGTGCTTACAGTTGTGGTTTTATGGTTTCAGGTGCTTTCGGTTCGAAAGGGAAGGGTCCGAATTGATCGCAGCGTATACAACTGTTATTTCCGCAATTCATGATTTTGGGATTTACTTTGATAATTGTTTAATCTGGAATGTTTTTATTATTTACTCTGTCATTTAGGGTGTGTCGGCCAAAAATCGATCGATCTACAATTTGAATTTCAGGTTGGGCATAATCGTTGTTTCCTCCGTGAAGTTTCTGTAGTTTCCAATCTCGTCTGGCTTGTCGGAGATGTCGGAGGTGAAATTCAAACCCCCTCAAAAACAGATTTTATATGCTATTAGAGGTAATAATGATATATTTTAAACAAAAAAACAAATTTAATGATTAACAGTACATCAAAAGCTAGCTAAATGACCAAATATATACAAAAGATATAATCCATTACCGTTCAAATCATTATTCTTATAACAATTACTTAAAAATAAATGCACGAATTTGTCTTGAAATTATGTTAAAAACCACATTTTCATAAATAACCTAAAAAATATTATGCTTTAAGACAAAGCCCTCTTTCCATTGGTGGACATGAGAATTCCGGGACCCGGTCCGGCGAACAGCAACGGTCATCACATAACAAGCAACGGTGTCCACGGTTGGATTATTCATCCCAACCTCCGAGCAAACCCATTTCTTAATCAAACAAGCGCGCCATAATTTCTCAAACAGATTCGCGATTGCTTCTTCTAATTTGATCACACTCATCGATTTCCCCTAAATCGTTCATGGCTCACGACGTAGAAAAATCAACCTCCGTCCCACCAATAGAACCGCCACTCGGCTCCACCGTGATCCCAGTAGTGAACAAGCTTCGTGAAGTACTGGCAAAGGTCGGTGGGGGAGATTCGGAATTAGAGTTGCCGCAGGTGGCTGTCGTTGGCAGCCAAAGCAGCGGGAAGTCGAGTGTTTTAGAAGCCCTTGTCGGCCGTGATTTCCTACCCAGGGGTTCCGATATTTGCACTCGTCGTCCCCTGCTTTTGCAGTTAGTACGGAGTAATGAAGAAGCCGGTGAATTTGGTGAGTTTTGGCACTTGCCAGGGAGGAAGTTCTTTGATTTCTCCCAGATTCGTGCAGAAATTCAGGTATTTGGGTTTAGATGATGGCGTTTTAATTAGAACCAACCTCTGAGATTTTGCTACCATTACACAATGGTTTACTTCATTTTTGTTTTGTGAAGGCTGAAACTGAGAGGGAAGCAGGAGGTAATAAGAGGGTTTCAAACAAACAAATTTGCTTGAAGATCTATTCTCACAGAGTTCTTGACATGACATTGGTTGATCTTCCTGGAATGACAAAGGTTCCAGTAGGTGACCAGCCATTGGATATTGAAGCACAAATCCGTGAAATGATACTCTCCTACATTAAGCAGCCACGTTGTATAATCTTAGCCATTACACCTGCAAATTCAGATTTGGCAAATTCAGATGCACTTCAAATGGCAGGGATAGCTGATCCTGATGG